GGCGCGCCGGCCGACGAGGTGGCCAACGGCGCCGCCAGCGGGCTCGATCTGCTCGCCTCCACGGCCAACATGTACCGCAGCCGCGGCGGCGGCGCCGGCGGCAAGAAGTCGCAGGCCTCCAGGTGCGCCGCGCCGCCCGGACGCGCGGCGGCAGGCGCCCGGCGGACGGCCGGGGTGTGCCGCGCGTGGGCGCGGCTCCCGCTCAAAGTGTGGTGCAACGCTGTCGCGGTTAGAGCTTCCACATCCTGTCCAGTATGCTGTGCAGGGTGGCAGTATTTCAGCTGAGAAGGCGCATGCTAGTTCCCAAAGCATCTGCCACGAAGCCTGCGAGCACAGACTTGCATGTGGCAGGATATGCCGGCGGGAAGTGCGTGCCGCCATCGCCAAATCACGTCACCTGACTGCAGCGCATCAAAGCAGCGACTTTCGCCCGGGACCCGGCGTGGTGTCCGTGCGCGCCACATTAAGTCCCCGGTCGCCGTGCTCACGCGCCGCCCGCCGCCTTCAGGTTCACGTGCGCGCTGTGCCAGACGCGCTGCGGCACGCAGGTGGCGCTGCGCGTGCACTACGGCCTGGTGCACGGCCAGCAGCTGCACGGCTGCCGGCTGTGCGGTCAGTCGTTCATCCGGCGCCGCGACCTCGACAAGCACGAGTGCGACGAGGAGGAGCAGGCGGAGCCGCCGCGCGTGCCGCCGCTCGTCGTCCGCACGCCCAAGGTCGGTCGGCCGGCCGGCCAGCCGGGGCTCCGCGGTCAGGCTTTGGCGTGGGCCGTCGTTGGCAGGAGTTACTTATTGTTTTTGGTTATGTTGTATGTTGTTGGTGGTTATGTATGTGTTGAAACAGATCGGTTTACACTGCACGGACAAAAATAGGGGCGGCGGATATACGTTTGTCTACGAGCATTTTCCACCAGGCTAATGACACATAACCCTGACATGACCTGCCCTGTCAAGTGGTTGTACTGCAGAAGCAGCAGCTTGTCAACTTAAGGACACTGAACCCCAACCTAACCTGGCCTGACCTGTGTGTGCCGCAGGAGCAGCAGCCGCGGCGTCTGGAGGACACGAGCTCGGATGAGGACGACCCCCGGCCGCGGCCGCCGCCGCCCCGCCGGGCGCCGCCCGCCGCCCAGAACAGGAAACGGCAGGATGGTGAGTCCCAGCCAGTCCTAGCAGTGCATCGTCCGGACAAGTTGTAGGTCTCATGAACTCAGCATCTGCCTGTGTAAATCGATTTTGCAAATATTGGTCCCCCATTTCTGTGTGGAAGGAGTGACACAAGAGCTGCTAAGTGTATTTGCCGGCATGATCGCGCGTGCGCTTCGCCGGCGTCGCCCTGACTGCCGCGCCGCTGTCTGACGCAGCCGCCGGCAAGAAGGAGGCGTACGTGTGCCGCGTGTGCCAGTCCAAGTTCCGCGACCCGCAGTCGGTGTTGCAGCACCTCAAGCAGTTCCACCGGGAGCATGCCATGAAGGCCTGGAGCAAGTTCCAGGTGGGTGCGCTGCTGGCGGCCGGGCGTGTTGGCTCGGTTTTGGAGGGGCGCTGAACCTCAGCCGCAGTATGTCCGGTTGGTAGTCGGGGGGTGTTGTAGACGCGAGACATGCAGTTCGCTTGTCTTTTGTGTCTCACACTAGAAACCGTGAGAGAGGCGTGGCGCTTTTGGCCGCAAATTTGGTATGTGCCACAAAATAACCGTAACATGATCATGTTATTGTTTGTTCACTGTTGTCGCGTTTGTGCCTGTGCAGGTGATTTGATGTCTAGGCCAATTGTCAATGCCTGCTTGATGCACATCGTCCAGCATCTTCCAGCTTCAGTGTTTCCGTCAATGGTGCGGTGTCCCCGCCGGCTCTCGCCGCTCGCTCTGCGGCCGCACGTGGCGTCCACCTCACCCTCCACTCTGTGGCCGGCAGGAGAACCTGCGCACGCGTCAGCCGGAGCCGGCGTCGGGCCGCGGCCGCGGTGGCCGGGGCGGCGGCGCCGCGCCGGCGCCCGCTCGGCCGACACGTTCGCCGTGCGCTCCGTGACGGGCGCGCCGATGAAGCTGAAGCTGTCGCGCTCGCAGCAGCAGCAGCAGCAGCTGCGCCGGCTGACCACCGACGACCCGGACGAGCCGGAGGAGTACGCCGTGCTGCCGTCGGAGATCCCGGCGCTGCGACCCGGCCAACGCGACCCCATCTACCACCAGACGCAGTACCGCGTGTACCAGCCGCCGGACCCGCCGCCGCTGCCGCCGGCCAGGTCAGCTGGTCGCGCCGCGCCGCAGACGGCTGTGTGGCGGAGGCATAGGCGAAGCAGTGTGGCGATGACGGCCTTTTGTGGAGTATCGTGCTGATGCTTCTCTTAATATCTGTCATCCGTTTTTGAGGGCGGCCTAGACTGTTCGGGATGTGCAGGGCGTGGGACAGCCATAAAGCCGTTGCGACCGGCGCGGGTATGCTGTTGCTCTACTCTGCGTGCGCGCATAAACAAAACTTGAATTGCCACGCATACGCAGTTCATAAATTGAAGCTGTGCATTGAGTTACGCTTAATGTCTTTGTTTCACCACCCACCTTTCCTTCATTCGCCTTTCCATCTTCCACCTTGCCATCATCCACCTTTTTATCATCCATGTTCCCACCATCCACCTCTTCACCATCTGCCTTCCCATTACCCACAGAGACCCTCCCTCAGTTTCCATATTGTGAAACTTTGTCGAGTTTCCCAAGAGATCTCATGGTTACCGATCACTGACCCACCAGCTGTTTGGCCGGGCTGTGACCTTGCTATCACGTGAGATGTTGCCTGCGTCTAAACCTGTCAGCATGACTCTTGATGGATGCGGTTTGAGTCACGCCTGTGGTAGTGTGCTTCTGTTCCCGGACATGTGACTCCCATCACCGCCCGTGCTCGCCCGTCGTTCGCACCGCGTGCCCCGGCTACCCCCGCCGGGGGGTGCGCCCCCCCCCCCCCCCGTGGCCCCGCACCCCTGCCGCGGCGCCAGTATGGCTGCCTGACCGGCGTGTCGCCTCCAGCAGCCCGCCGCTGGACGTGGGCCCGCCGCCAGCTCACACCTCGCCCGGCTACGTGACGTGTGGCGTCTGCGGCGGCACCAAGTACTACACCTACACGGACCAGTGCCGGCTGTACGACTCGTACGCGTGCGAGGCCTGCCGCAAGTTCGTGGCGCGCCAGCCGGTGACGCAGCCGGTGCAGTGCCAGTTGGGGCTGGGCCAGTGTCACATCCCGGTGCTGGTGCCGCGCCACGCGGCCGATACGCGCTGCCGCGCCTGCTGGCTGAAGCGCAGCCTGATGGCCTTCAACATGCCGCAGGAGAAGCACGACAAGCTGCGCGAGTGTCTGCCGCCCAGCCTGCGCGACACGGTGCCCGTGTGCGCCGACAAACCGTACAAGGAGACGGGCGTGTGCGAGCGGGACACGCTGGAGTGAGCGGCACGACGGCGCCGCCGGCGGCGGGGGCGAGGCCGGCTGACCCGGCGGCGGCGCCGCCAGGGGGCGGAGCGGCGGCGCCGGGGCTTCGACGAGGCCGGCGCCGCCGCCGGAGGCGACGCCGGCTGACCCGACAGCGGCGTCGGTGGGACGGCGGGACGGCGCCGCCGCCGGAGTGGAGTGGAGTCAGTGTGGAGACCACTGTACAAAGCCTAGGTGTAAGATGAGTCCCGGTGACGAGCGGCTACCTTCCACAGCGTGCGCGGCAGGCTGTCGTGGGCGGGGGCGCCTTCGCCGCGCGGCGGAACTGGCGCGTTGCGCGGAGGGTGGTTTCGCCAGGTGTGTTTGTCGAGACCTTCCGCTGTTTTGATGGGGCTGAAATGGGAGCTGTTCGAGGTCTTTGTTGAGTGGTCATTTACCATGCCGGTTCATTCGCAGATTTTCATTGGACGAAGGCAGTTACCAGAAGTGCATGAATTGAATGCGTGATTCTCCGGGAAAACCTCCGAACTGCCCTGGCAGTGCTGTATGAAATATGCAAAGTTGGAATGACGTCACACTTTCCCCGGCCCTGTCGTTGGTTTTTTATTTGGAGTGGTTGATACTGGGGTGAGTCGCGAGTGATTTTTAAAGCTACGTTACGCTGCATGTGCGCCTAAGCAAAACACGAATTGCCACGTATATGCTTAGCATTGTAATGACGATCCTTGTCAGTGCCGTAATAAACCCACGAGCGTGACCTCTGACCTGACCACGAGGTACTCGTAGCTGGCGTCGTGCGACGAATACGGGCCATTGCTCGCACCAGCCCACCGTCGCACTTCACTGGTTTTCGGTTACCTTGAAGGAGTGGCTTGAGCTTGGGCGGCAAGCGTCTAGGCCGGGAGCTGGTCACCAAAGCCGCCAGCGGGTGGATCGTGTTGGATGCAGCCAGGGCCGCATCTGGCCGGAGTGCCTCGTCCGTGGCGACGCTGCCACAAGTGTCCGCGGTTTGCGTGGGGATTTGTCGACGAGGGCGTGATCATTCGCGCTGGCGTTCCAGGATCTTCCCCAAACCACTCTGGCTGCTGTAGACGTAAGACGAGATTTAGACCGCGATTTGGACGTTGAACGATCGGGTGGTGCTCCGTATGCCAGGTGTTCGCCGCCTGGGATTCACTGGGGCCGGTGTCGCTGGTGATTGTAGCAAACGAGGAGACCCAGACCGACCACTCCGTATTGAGGCTGGTGCCGGTGCGGGCACCTGGCCTTCCCACAGCACTCTGTTGCCGGATGTAAGCTTTTAGCATCGGTCAACTAGATTCGCAAAAGCGATTCCGAAAGAGGACGGTGTAACGGCGACTCTGAAGATCACTACCACGCCCACTTCATTTTGCTGGTCCTCACTCGCTGCTTAAATCAGCTAGTTGGGCCAACAGGCAGTTTATTTTTCACCAGCTTCCACACTACACATAGATCCAACTGAGTTTCGTTACCACACGCCCGCCACAGTCCGCAGGCGGCACACCATACCCTGGCATTCAAGCGAACACAACACGCTCAGTCACCGGTGCAGCAAGAGCGGAGTCGGCTAGCCGCCCTGGAGGCGCAGAATACAAGCGTCACTGTCATACGCGCAGCTCAGGAACCGCTGCGAAACGTTCGCGGCGCCAAGATGCTTTCCTGTCGACGTGCGGAACATCATGTAGAAAACTGCCGCCCTCAGTTGCATCTCTGCCCTGCCGGGCATTTCGGCTGCTGGCTTCGCGTTATGGTCTACTTGTAAGTTTGTTTCCGTTGAAACGGCATGCAATGTTAAGTTACTACATTATGATATCTCTCGTTCTCATATCACAGAAAAAGGCTTTCTGTCATAAACAACATGGTTTTCTTAAAAAGGCTGTGAAGAGTTCCAGTTTTCACAACACGATGTGACAGTCCCAGGTCAAGGAATATCACTGCAAATGATTTCTGCATATGGGGGGAGGAGGCGCAACATGCTCACGAAACCATAAAAACCGTTAAGATGTTAGACATCGATTTCAAGACGACTACATTAGGACCAGTGTTTTAGTTGGCATGCTTTCGTTTTGTTTCACGGCCAGTCATCTTTTTTAGTTCATCGTTCTAGTCAGCAAAACATGGACTGAACTTCAACTTAAGCATTTTTACATGAACACCAGGGTTCGTGAAGGTTTCTCAAAAACGTGTAAATAGGTAAAAAATACCAATGACGTGTCGGAATTGTCCACGTCCCAGGTCGTCTCTAACACAGAAATTGGCGTCAAACATGAGCCAGCCAGTCATCAGCGCATGTTCAAGCTAGGCCTGACCCCTATTTACACCCACTGCCTTTCAAGAAGCGCAGAAAATCCGGTCCGATCGGCCCTGCCATCTGCCAAGAGCCACGTCACCACCAATTCCAGACCTCCGATCCTCACGACAGCAGCAGCTCTGGCGGCTCAGCTGCAGCGCCTCTGACGGAACGATCGCAGCACCTCTAGCGGCGCGACCACAGCGCTCCCACCACCGCGACCCCAGCGCCCTTGGCGGCAAGACCGCAGCACCCCTAGCGGCGAAGCCTTGCCGGCGGAGCACGGGCGGCTGACTTCTGTGCACGGCCCGCCGCCGGCTTGTTGCTGGCGATCGTGGCGCACTTGGGCACGTGTCGGTCGGCGGCCGCTTCGCTGAAGCGGCGGCCGCAGTGTGGACACGTGAACGTAGTCGGACGTGTCCATGGGCGGCGGTGGCGGCAGGTCCTCCAGCTTTCCGCCGGCCGCCCAGATGCGCCTGCGCCTTCTTCGCCGCGCGAATGTTGCGGATGAACTCCTCGTGCTGCTTGCGCCAGTCCTTCTTCGGTGGCGCCACCTGCTGTGCGGACGGAGAGCGCGATGTTACGCCTATTTCATATACGGACGGGTGTAGCAAACACAACGCAATGAGCGGCTGGACCGCGGGCATGGCAGCCGATGGGGTGCAGGATTTGGCACGTTAAGCTGATGGGAGCGACACTCACGGCGCTCCCCGACTCACCGCATCATAAACCCTCGAACACCTGACCTTAGCCGCGCACTGACTGCCGACGCTCACCTTCTCGGGCTTCTTGGACTTGATCTTGCGCAGGTAGCTCTCGGACTCGGTGCCCTGCACACGCATCTTGACCGGGTCGAACACCTTGCGCTTCTTCTTGGTGGACTTCTCGCAGATGGCCTGGTGCTTGTCCAGCCGGTCCTTGGCGAAGGCGCGGGAGCAGATCGGACACTGGGCCAGGTTGGGGTCGGCCGGCGGCGGGCGGGGCCCAGCGGCAGACGGCGGCTGAGGCAGAACGGCGTGTGAGCGGGCCCGACCGAAGGACGGCCCACAACGGCGGCCGCCTCAGCTCTGGAAACATGGCATTGATGTCCCCCCCCCCCGCCCTCACCCACCCATATCCACAGAGGATCCCTCTGAGCTGCGTTTGGGGCTGGCTGTGAGTGGTGACTGGATGCCAGCTACCAGTCAATCCGTCCTGACTGGGGCTGGGCATGGCTCCTGGAAAGCAAATGTGCCTGCCTTGGCGTTATCAGGTGAGTAATGAATGGACCCACCCAGCGGAAATCTTCAAAGCCCAGCTCCGTGTGCCATTACGAGATTTGTGCAGTGCACCATCTATTCCGACCTCCGTCAAGCTCGGATGGGCATCGTAAATGATTAATTATCCCCAGGAAATGGACTATTGTGCGATTTTGAAAGCATCCCTAGAAATCCAACCGTAACCTGAACGCCTTGTCGCAGCGTCGGTCGTGCGGTGGGCAGCCATGCCTCCTCGGCCCCGCTTCAAAATCGTCTCACAAGTATCATGGCCCATGAAGCGCGAGCGCTACCACCAAAGTTTGCCCGCAGTTTCCCTCCGTAAAAAGGAGCACGTGTGGGAATTCGAACGATGTCCCAATCACCCACATTCCGCGCTCGCCACGGGCCTGTCTCCAAACCGCAAGTACACGGGCAGATCGGTATCCCTCGTGCACCCCGATCCACCGTGTCACCATTCAAGGCCTGATGCGGGCGGTCAGGTGTACCGAGGCGAACTGCCGGACAGGGGCAGGGAGGCGACCCGAGTGTGGGCCCCGGGGTAAACTGTCAGCAGCGGAGGGGGAGACCCGAGTCTGGAGTCCCGAGGTAAACTGTCAGCGGGGAGGGGGAGACCCGAGTCCGGAGTCCCGAGGTAGACTGTCAGCAGGGGAGGAGTCCTCCGTCCCGGCCCGGGGCCGACTATAAGAAGGGAGGAGACCCGAGTCTGAAGACCCGGGACAGGCCTGCAGCCCGAATGTGGATCCGGGGACAGACCGCCGGCTGGGTGGAGGGTCCCGAGTGTCGAGTCCGGGGACAGACCGCCGGCTGGGTGGAGGGTCCCGAGTGTCGAGTACGGGGACAGACCGCCGGCTGGGTGGAGGGTCCTGAGCGTCGAGTCGGGGACAACCGCCGGCTGGTGGAGGTCCCGGTCGAGTACGGGAAAACCCGGCTGGGTGGAGGGTCCCGAGTGTCGAGTCGGGGACAGACTGGACCACGGCTGGTGTAGGGTCCCCGAGTGTCGGTCCAGGGACAGACCCGGCTGGGTGGAGGGTCCCGAGTGTCGAGTCCGGGGACAGACCGCCGGCTGGGTGGAGGGTCCCCAGCGCACCGTCACAGG